CCTACTTTTCTTCTTCTCTTATCGTAAAAGCTCTCTTCTCTCCACCAACTTTTTTCTTCAATCGGTTAAATTGAAACTCTTTTCTCCCATCGATTAAATTGAAAGAAACTTAAATAGCAATAATAGATCTCAAATCTCCATCCTATAAGAACTTCTCACTTCCAATTTCGAAAAAATTTTAGGGAAAGGATTAAGATAAACAATCATACATGCCAATTGAAGCTCTTTCTCATCTTGTTTCTCACTTCCCATTCCGAAAATTTTTTCCACCGCCGATGTTCTTAAAATTTTAAGCGGCTCGTGAGGAAGATTTCAAGCAATTGGAGGAATTTAGAAGTAGGGTAACAAAATTAAATCAGAGAAACAATACCAGAAGCTCGTCAGAGCATTACACAACACTGGAGGAGACGAGTACCGGTGAGTACACCGCTAATGTTTCCTCTTTTTGAGAGAAAAAGGGTTTCGATAAACCCAGAAAAAACGTTTTGTCTTATGGACACAATGTCGTGGATGATGATTAATGGACATAATGGGATGGATCGTATCCAACTTTCTCGTGGATACAGATCAGTGGACAGAATGGATGGATCGTATCCATGACAATAGATCCAAGCTGCAAAATTCACATCATAATGTTCATGATCGTATAACATACGTGGATGATTATGTATGGATTATGGATTGTGATGTTATTAGCACATCACGTATGGATGGAAATCGGTGGATGGTCACACATGGATGCTCCCATATGGATGAAGATGGAGAATAATTGAAGAGCTCAATGTATCAAAATCTTTTGTAAATTGTAGTTGTAAGAACAAAATCCTTTCAATTGTACAAATCTGTTCACAAATTATTATTTTTTTGTTTCAAATGTGCTACGATTGGTATGAATGATGGACAAAGAGGCATTGTATTATGTCATTGATATTTGTATCGTCGTCAGATTTTCGTGGCAAAGAGACATTCTATTGTATCATTGACCATCGATCTATATCCACGACATCGTGTCCATGAGATAAAACTTTTTTCTGGGTGTCGAAATCCTATTTCTCTCAAAAAGGGGAAACGTTAGCGGTGGAATCACCGCTTCTCATCTCCTCCGGTGCCGCTTCTTGCTCCGACTCAGATCTAATTATAGGACTAAAATCAAATATTTCTTTGTTCTTCGTTTGTCAACACCATG